TTGTTACTTCGAAAAATATATTAACTATGTATGAACTACCAAATAAATAAATATTGAATATAAAATATTTTCTGACAATGTGGGGCTATTATATATAATATGCTATCCCCATCGCTACTCTCCACATATATTATTACATTAAGGCTCGAAATCGGTTTTGTACCAAATATAAGCTCCTGTCATGCTCAAATACCATGAATGGGATACCGTTGGATTCAAAATTTCACGAGGGGTTAGCGAATCGTATTCTCCACTTTTGTTTTTCTTTCTAAAATAAATAAAATCGATGCACACAATTTGCTAGGCTTCAATACTGAAACGGTGGTAGGTCTGTAGATCGATACGGGACAAATTGGATCTAGAAGATTTTGATGCGTACAGCAACACCCGGATAGTTCCTCCGGAACTATCGAATCATTCGTTTTTAAGCCCAAAAATGTACTATTTTCGAGATAACGCCAGGAATTGGGTTCGCATCCACACAACCTTACATTAATTGTAGTACTGTCATTGAATACATGTCTCATTTCGTCGACTTGAGGTCTCTATGTTCGAGAGAGGAGTTTATATTATTTATCGATGGTGTTTTTGATCGGCAAGCCATATCATCGTTAATTTTTCACCAAATCTCAAGATTGAGCCACCAATTTCGAAGGCTTCCTTCTCCTTCAGGCGGGAAAAATATTCCAACCACCCCGAAAATTCAGGCAAACAAGTTATGAAAGAAAACAAAGTTTATTTGCGAATAACTGAAAAATTGCAAACTTTTCCCTTATTATGGCCATGATCATATAAAAGATCACTAAATTCCCTACAAAATGAAAAAAAAAATCATCAATATCGGACAATTGTTAGCAAAGATACTGAAATTTTTAAACATGTCGGTTCCAAACAAAAATGAGGATTTAAATTATTTTTTGTTTTCTTTGTCGATTATATTAATCGATAAAGTTGCATTATTTTATTTTCTTATTAATTTGGCATTTGATATCTATATGTTGTACGAATTTTTCGCACGGACCTACTAGTATTATATTATTATTTGCCATTCAATCAAACGTTAAAAGCACAGAAAAGTATTATTTTCAATAAATTAAACAAATTTAACAAAAAAAAAAAGGACAATAGTGTTTAAATAAATCTTCATTGATAGTCTTGAAAGAGTAATAGATAGGTCTGGCGCTTCCTTATGTCAAGTTTCATGTTCCCCCACCACGCAGTTCTGAGTGAGCGAACCTGGTAGTTATATTGGCCTTGCTCACGACCATTGTAAATTCCTGATTTTCATTAAAAGTAAATAGTCTTACATATCTCTTCTTTACATTTTATAAACAATCTCACAGGCGAATCTACGGAGGGGGGGAGAGAATTTTGGGCTGAAGCTCCCCTCAAAATGGTAAAATATGACCATGTTTTATAGAAAAAAATATTAAAAACTATCTCTTAAAGTATTATTGTTCGTTTAATTGCATTTAATATGACTTTAAGGATCACTTAAACACCATTTCATATAGTTAGTTAATTTCTTTCTTTTTTTTTCAAATTAATTATAGTTATATATTTGAAAGAAAAATCATTTGGGCTGAAGCCACCCAAAATTAAATCCTAGATCCGCTAGTGAACCATCTTCAATTTTTTTTAAAATAATCAAGTGGACAAAAATTTAAAAAAAAAATTGGAAATTTACAATTTACTTATAGAAAAAAATTAATCTTTAACTGTTGTGTGTATTTGACAGTTCTTTTCCATTTTTTCTCAACAAATTTATTATTCTCTCAATACCTTTCATTAATTTTTGTAAGAGTAGACTTTTATTTGCCTAACTTTTGTCAAAACGATTTTCAGGGACTAGGAAGTAATTATTATGTCTCCATTTTTCTCTTGATATCCAATGCTACAAAGGATAATGTCCAAATAAGCTTTTTAAATTAAAAACATCATTATAAGTGGACAATGCACCAGATCCATGCTGTCTGTTATCTTTATGCCAACTGAGCTAAAATGATGAGTAATGATTGAACGTGTAGAGTTCATCATGATTGAAACAATCCTTGTCAGTCTTGTGACTTTCATTCAAGACTGATCGTGGAAGGTCCACTTATAAGTGCATGATACAGACCCCTTTTTTTCAAATTATTAACATCCGGCTGAAACTTCGTAAATAGCTTCATCTCATTGTAACCTACAAATATTTTATTTACGAAAATTCTCGAAATTGAGCCGTTTTCAATCTGGAGGTCGGCAAACTTTATTTATTTAATTAGGTACTAAAAACTCGTAAACACCCATTTGCTTTCAACTTAAATCGTAACTTGAACACAAAGTCGAGAAAAAAGGTGGCCTTCAAAAATATTGAGCTGTATGGTGTACACCCACAAATTGTAAAAATAACGAGGCTATATAGGCCAAACGCTCCAATATTTTTGAAGGCCGCCTTTTTTCCCGACTTTGTTATAAAATTATCTTACCACCCAAGTTGAAAGCAAATAGGTATATACGAGTATTTAGTACCTAATTAAATAGAAAAGGTTTGCCGGGATCCACATTGAAAACGCACCAATTCCAAGAGTTTTTGTTAAAAAAATAGCTGTAGGTTACAATGAGACAAATCTATTCACGAAGTTTTAGACGGATATTAATAATTTGATGGAAAGACGAGGCTATATAGGCCAAACGCTCCAATATTTTTGAAGGTCGCCTTTTTTCTCGACTAAGTGTTCAAGTTATCTTATGATTTAAGTTGAGAGCAAAAGGGTGTTTACTAGTTTTTAATACCTAATTAAATGCATAAAGTTTGCCGACCTCCAGTTTGAAAACGACCCAATTCCGAGAATTTTCGTAAATAAAATATTTGTAGGTTACGATGAGATGAAGCTATTTACAAAGTTTTAGCCGGATGTTAATAATTTAATAAAAAGGAGTCTGTACCACGGACTATATTATTTAGCCACTGCACTAGCGGATCCAGGATTTAATTTTGGGGGGGGAGGGCTTCAGCCTGAATGTTTTTTTTTCATAAAAATAACGATAATTACTTTGGAAAAAAAGAAATAAACTAACTACCTATATGAAATGGCGTTTAAGTGATTCTTAAAGTCCTTTTAAATTACATGAACAATTATACTTTAAGAGATAATTTTTTAATATTTTTTTCCATAAAACATGGTTATATTTTACCATTTGGGGATGGGGCCTTAGCCCCAAAGCCCCCTCTCCCCGTAGATCCTCCTATGAGTCACTGTACTTACCTGGCTTGATCACAATATTTTATTGTAAAATGAATGAATGAATGAAAATAAAATTTTATTCTGGGTCTACAGTCCCCTAAGAATAATGACAATGTTACAAATTTAGTCTTAGTCTGGCTTAAAATAATAAAAAATACAAACTAATTAACTGCTTATTGTTATTGCAATTGTATAGTAGATTGAAATTCAACAGTCATTAAACAGATACAAGTAATTTTACATGTTTGCGAAAGTTAATTGTGGAGTAGGTGGTGGAATGGGAGTTGTTATAAGGAATTTGTGGAAGAGAATTGGCATATGGAGTTAGGTAGAGAGTTCCAAAAGGAGGTAGCACGAATGATGAAGGATTTGCTGAAGGAAGTGGTTTATTTACTTGTGCATGAAGAAGTATTGCGCAGCTCTTTATTTACCTTTCTTCACCATGTGTTAGTACTCTGATCTCAGATCGCTCCGGTTATAGTGTGGAGGATTTTTCTCTCAAATCTTTTAATATTCTTTTCTAGGGCGATGGTTAATGTCTAGGTCTCACATATATTAGGACAGGCTATATCATGGCATTATATAGCAATTCTTAATTTGATATTTTTCGAGATTTCAACACTTTTGAAAGGAAGACAAAAGCTCTGTTTGCGTTTATTATAGTTGGTCTATTTCCACTCATTGGTCATTCTTTGAGCTTATTATGAATTATGAGTGGAATTTTCGACTTATTGTCATATATTTTGTTTATACTTCATGACAAAATTAGTGATACTATTTACACTAAAATAGCCCAACCAGCAAAATTATGCTGACGCGTCCAGAATGAAAAAGAAGAGCCTAGAAAGAAAAATAAGACCAAGATTGCGATGATGGAAGGAATCGACACGATAGTAGATCTCTTGGACTAGCTAACTGAAGGACAGTTGCAAGAGAGACAGAGACCATTGGGTGAGACTAATTGAGGAGGCCAAGATTCAACGATGAGTTGTAACGCCCATTAAGAATAGGATGTACACTTGTTTCATAAATTCCTCCTGTCTGTTACTTGCTTGACGCAGTTTAAAAATAGTATAGTTCAGATATTTACTCCTTCATCAATGAATAAATAAGATAATTATTAGGCAAATTCGCAGAAGTTACATCAAATTTGCTAGGTTGCGCAACTGCACACATCCAAATGGAGTAAAAGAATAAATAAATTAAAAGATAATTTTTTGTGTGCATTAATTGAAATTTTCAACTGTATAAATAAATACAACTAGCAAATTTGTTTAAAGAATATGAAAGATGAGAGGAAGTTGTAAAGAATCTCGATATTGGTAGCACTTAGATTAAATTAGATTAGATTAATTTAAGAGATCCCTTGGCCATCTTCTTTTCACACTCCAAAGGAATTGTTTTGGATGAATGGTTATGAACGTGAGTTTTTCAATTTTATAATGTTTTTATAGTTTATAATTTTGACCTTTTTTGCATTTATTTTTATTTTTTAAAACTTGTAATTCTAATATTTTCTTTATCATTTTTACAGTTAGTTCAATCTTCCTAATATACCTTTTAATGTGTTTTATTAATATATGTAATAATCTAATTATTATAGATAGTATGATTATTATGATAGTATTAAAAATATTTCTTTAATTTATCTTCTCTACATACATTAAATAAAAACTACAAATAACAATTTTTTATTTTTTTAAATTAGATCTATGTACAAGAATTGAGGATAAAATAATTATTAATCTTTTTATTTTTAGTTATATTTTGGTTAATTTTATTTTATTTGATTCTTAAATCTTTGACTTTTCCTATTTCAATCAATATTCATGTTGGTTATTCATATGCTGTTACTCTAATTATTAGATATTAGACCCTTGGTATGTTTCATACTATAACAGTTGTAAATGAATAATATAAAAATAAATACTGATAAAATATAATATTTATTTCCAGAATAATCAGTGTTGAAACAGTTAGATTCACATTAAGCCATTACTCTTTCGCCCAATGGTCGTATAATCAAATCAGCTATCTGAAAACAGAAAATACAAACTCTTGAAATTATTTAATTAAGTTACAAGAAATGAAGTTGTTTTTAAAAAAATAAATTATCTTTTTTTAATAACTTACTTTATTTTGGATCATACTTTTTGCAAAACAATTAGTAATTAATAGTTTAATGTTGTTTTCTTATCCTTTACTTCATTAACCCCTTTCCATTAAATCATCCCTTAACATCGTACATGACATTATTATATATTATTTGCCATTTAACTTTCTTGGTACATTTTATCTCCCTTTATAGTTTATCACAGGGCACAGATGTCTCCGAGCAAAACTCTTTTGAAATAGGAAGAATATTCAACCCCTTTGCTACGCTTTTCTTTAGCACTACTTTTTTTCTGTTAGCTTTTCTCAGACCAGACCACCTTTCCAGTTATCAGTCTGCAGCTCTCCAGCATATTTATTGAATCAGTCTATCATTTTATCTAATCGATTATTGAAGAATTCATTGTTGTGTAAAGGCTACATGCCTTGGCTATGTTAACCTCCTTGCCTCCATGTCATGAAATATTGATTGACCAGTTTATATATGGAGTTCTTTATTGGTCGTTTTACTCCATATTTTAGTACTCTGATCCCAGATCACTCCGGTTACCTTAATTCTTAATTTATGATCGTTACCCTCTTAATTTGAGATTTCTTCAATTTTTTTCAGAATTTTAATACCTTTGAAAGAGAAAAGAAAGGTCAATTAGCGTTTGTTATATGCAGATCTATTCGTCCCATTGTCGTCCTATTTTTCTTCATCCGTTTCTGCTCTTCGACCAGATGCTTCAAAAAACAGATAGGCCTGGTTGAACCTTGGATTGAAGCGTTGGCAATAATAATTTAAAAACTGACTGTATCCTGATTATTTATCATTCACAAGGATTTTATCATTTATTCTGAAATGCACTCTTAATGTGATCCAGTTCAATCATCAGTTTTCAAAGACTATAAATTTGAAATCTAAATTTAACGATTAATATCTTTGCAAATATGCATCTGAAAACTTCATGGCATTTTGCACCTTCATTGTTAAAACCTATTCTTCGCCGACAAATACAAATCAAAAAATCATGTAAGTACTCAATTAAATGATATAAATAAATAAATTTAAATAATATAATTGTTTGAAAAAAACTTACATGGGTAGAATGTGGAGTGCTAAGAAGTGTTACAGCAGCATCAGCGACAGCTACTGGTTCGAGAAGAGGATTGTCACCACCTGTATATACATTTCCCCAACCTCCAGCATCGAATATTTCAGTTTCCACTGTTCCAGGGCAGATTGTCTGAAATATACCAAGGTACGAATTCATTTTAAATGATATATCACCATATCATTTGTCAAACGTCAAGATAATTTAAAAGAAAGACAAACATATTGATAATATTGAAAATATATTCTATAGAGATCATGCACAGGTTACTGCAAGTATCATTATAATCTCTCTCTTCTTGTTTCTCTTTTTCTAGAAAGCTTCGGTTTACATATTTTTTTATGAAGGTTAAGACAATTAAACTTCTATTTTTCTTTAGTCTTTTTTAATCACATCTATTACATCTGACTTTTCGGGAAAATTTTCCCATAGTCAGAGAATCCTTTATTACTTTTTTACTTGACTTTGTAATGTGGCACCAATTGTAAAAAATTACAATAATTGTCATACCTATTTAAATATAATACTTTTTGGTGTTACATATCCATGTTTGTTGGTGTGATGATAGACAGAAAATGGATGTGTAACACCAAAAAGTATTATATTTAAATAGATATGACAATTATTGTAATTTTTTACAATTGGTGCCACATTACAAAGTCAAGTAAATAGAAAGGATTCTCTGAGGATGAGAAAATTGTCCCGAAACATCAGATGTAATAGATGTGATTAAAAAAGACTAAAGAAAAATGGAAGTTTATTTGTCTTAACCTTAATAAAAAATATATAATCTTTCGAGTTAATAAACTAACCATAACTAAAGTACATAAGTGTACATTAATTATAATGTTAATAATTTATAGCAGCTGATCTTGCAGTTATTATTTAGAATTCAAACTATCATTATCTAAACAATATAGGATAATCTGAGTGAAAAATTAATAAATAATTATTTTACATATGAAATTAAGTTAAATTTAAGTTAATGTATCTTTATATTGTTATATATTTAATATCTACAAAATATTCTTTTTAAAAATTATTATAATATTAATTGTGGGTTGATGGTTGGCTGTAGTGAATAATTGAAGAGAAGGATGGTTGGGGTGATCAGTCTAAATAAAATGTTAAAAATAAATAATTGTATTTATTTTTACATTCGCCAACGTTTCTTTGTACAAGCGACGTTTCTTAATTGAACAATGTATCGATGGGGTTTTGACTCTTATATCATCCAGATGTGACACTTGTGAAACAGTGTTAAAATAAATATATATTTTAGGCATCCATAGAAATGTAGGTATTGAAAAATTAATTTTATTATAATTTCTTACTATTAATAAAATAATCTTAAATTGACGCTTCGTAGATCTCTTTCATCATCAGATTTCCATTTTAAGAAAACAATTTAAATACATTAATCAATATCATTAAATAAATATAAACACTATTACCCACAATTCTTTTTTTTATTTTTTAAGAAACATTGGATACAACTATTTATTTTTACTATTTTATTGTGACTGATCATCCCAACTATCCTTCTCTTCTATTATTACATTATATTGTTTAATAATTTGGTACAAGCCGTATTTGATGTTATGAATGATATTAATCTTATGTTTGAATTGTTTTATTAAGTATCAGACTGTTTATTTGAAAGAGAAGTTGATGACTCTAATAAGAATTAATTTACTTGCTAATAAATGAATAATTGCTTTTAAACTCAGAAGTTAAACTACTAGGTCCAAAATAATTCTGACACTTAAATAAAATTTGTTTTAATATCAATATATTTACTACTGTTTATATTCGATGGAGAGGAACCAATATAATTAATATTGGTGATACAATGATGAAATTTGTTTTTACGAGACTACTTATGGATATCTTAATTCCAGACTTTTGTTGAGCAAGCTCCATTCTTGTTCCTTCTGTTATAACACGTAGTGCATGTTTTGTCGCATTATAAACATGCTTACCAAACCCCTCTGGCATTCCATGTGAGGAGATACTGTTCAATAAAAATAAAAATACTTGAATTATAAATTAACAAGATATAAATTATATGGGAACTATTAGTTGTGATCGATGGCATCAGTGTTAAAATAAATATATATTTTAGATATCCACAGAAATGTAGGTATTAAAAAATTAATTTCTTTAAAATGTCTTACTATTAATAAAATAATCTTAAATTGACACTTTATAAATAATCACTATCAATAAATAAATATAAACACCATAACCCACATTTTTTTTATAAATAATACCTTTTATAATTATTATATCTCTTCGAACTCTATAAATTTATTTATTTAACATACTTTCTCAAAAAAGTGCTAGAATAAATTTTAATTGAATACTTAATTTTATTTGCTAATAACTTGAAATATACGCATTCTTTTTATGCATTGTGTGCTTATTATTAACATAATGATATCTTATGCGGGGAAAAAATAATTGAAATTTGACTATTCTACAGAGAAATGGCGGTTTGAATATTTTTCACATGATCCTTTGGTAATTCTATAAATATACCAGAATATTTCTAATGATCCCTTGACAATTATTTTAATTCTTTTCATAGTCTGAAAAAATATATATATTTTCACTATTATGTGACTATTGTTCAATCTGAAAAAATATGACAAAACACTGTTTAGTTGATTTCAAAACATTGACCAAACTTATTATTAACTTTTGACTTACCCAATTTTGGAGCTTATTATATACTGAAAGGAGGACAGAGATTCCCAGAAACGTAAATTAATAAATAATAATAAAAAAAAAGTAAGAGTGATTTTTGTTTAGATTAAACCTATAGGCAAATAATTGTAAAAAGATAATTTAGTACAAAAAAGTCAAATACAAAAATGGAAAAAAATTGTTTAGTAAATAAATATTTTTGAAGAGGTCCAATCTTAATAGTGAACAAATGTTTCCATATGTGGTAAGGATTTGCTAAATCCGATCTGTGTATGAATGGAAAGAAAAATTGGTCAAATGGTAATTTATGGAAAAAAGATGAGAATGGTGAAGATGGACTGAAAATAGAAAATTAATTTATTAAGGAGAGTAGAAGAATTGATATTTCCATTAATTAATTTATAAAGAGGAAAATAACATCTTTTTGATGCGCATATGTGATAGAGAATCAATATTTATTAATATTCATACTTCAAAAATGTTTGTAATGCCGATTAAAATATCGACTGCCGATATTTCAAATCCGATATTTTGATGGTGTCTATAATTATAGGCCGATATTAATATCGTTATTGGGCCTTCAATATCCCATCCCTAGAGGGGATGTGAGCGATATACATATTTGATATATAACTATTCTAAAATAATTAAACATTATGTTGGACTTATTTTATTTTATTTTCCTCCCTACCCTGCCTTTAAGGCAATACGGAAGTTTGCAGCAGTGATTTGATACACATTCCTGCATAACAAGTCACTGCTTATGATTTTTCTCAGATCTACAATTCATATAAAAACATCTATTCATAATAATTAAATAAATACAATTATAATTTTTTTTTATTTTTTTTTTAAATGTTCTATTCAAGGGAAATCTCATAGGCTAAATATTTCAGTTACACAATGCTATAAAAGAATGAGAGTTTGTACTAATCTACTATTTTGTCTTTTCATCTATTCATCTATTTATTTAATAATTTGTGACGTTTATTCTTATTTTTGAAAAAAAATAACCTATATTTATTTCATATTTATATGAATCGATTATTTTCATAATATATTTAATTTGTTTATTATATCTGCATGATAGATTTTTACATTTAATACATCTGTCTTGAAGTTAACTGTATTTTGTAAATTTTTAGTAATAATAAAAATAAGATTCCAGCTATCTTTTGCATTAATTTCAATATCTTCATATCTGGGTTATCAAAGTCAACTTTATGGTTTTTCACTGTACTATATTGGGCATATGCTGTTATATTTTTATTTTTACAATTTTCTATATGCAATTTTATTCTGCTATGCGATTTTATTTATTATTCTGAACTCTAGTGATAGTAGAGAACATATTTAATAACAATTTATATCGATACTCTACCTGCTGGTATTGATAATATATCCGTCATCAATGCCGTTCTTCTTCATGGAGGCCACTGCTTCTCTAGTAGCAACCCCCGAAGCTATAACATTGAGGTTGAACATGTACCGCCAATGTTCCAAATTACATTCTAAAAAAGTTAAATAAAATAAAGATAAATAAGGAAACTCATAATAAACTATTTTATTGATTTTTTGCAGAAAAATATTATTTTGAGATGATTTTTCATTGGTTCTTTTGAAAAATAAATTGTATAATAAATAATCAGTCATATATTTTTATTTTCATTCATAATATGTTTATTATTATTGCTAACATGGTTGTTAAATAAGTTTTGATTAAAGTTTGAATTTTTAAATGTTACCATATAAAATTTATTATTTGTAATTGGAGGCAACACTGTTGTTCTGAATGATTTCCTTGAGCAGATGTTTTTTTTTTTATTCTTTATTCTTTTCAAGTTATTTTATTCCTAATTTTGTGTTCCAAGAAACTTCAACCCAGGCTAGTTAGGTTATCAATGTCTTCTAGCTTGGAGTACAATTCTTGTGCTCTAACTTGGCTAAATGACAGCTCACAAGAATCGGTATATATTTCGGCTGAAAATCAGAATTACTTATTATCCCTCTCGCTCAATCTCCACTGATTTTAGCACCAGTGATGCGGTTGAGAGAGTAACGCAGGTATTTCTTGGAGTCCTGCTTTTCCCTCTATAGTTGGAGAGACAAGCCTGGCTTGAGGTTCCCTACCTGATTGTATATACTGTATATAGGTATGACTGAGTTTTTATTTTTTACATAGTTGTTTGATTATTATTTAATTATTATTTTACTTTTGTTTATTTTATGTTTTCTATATATATTGTGTGAATGTGTTCATATATTACTATAATTAATGTCACAGGTGGATCTACAGGGGGGGGAGGCTTTCGGGCTAAAGCCCCCCCAAAATGGTAAAATATAACCATGTTTTACAGAATAAAATATTAAAAACTATCTCTTAAAGTATTCTTGTTCGTGTAATTACATTTAATAGGACTTCAAGAATCACTTAAACACCATTTCATATAGGTAGTTAATTTCTTTCTTTTTTTTCTAATTAATTATAGCTATATGTATATGAAAAAAAAATCTTTCGGGCTGAAGCCCCCCAAAATTAATTCCTGGATCTGCTAGTGATTATTGTCCATGTGACAGATTATTATATTTCTAAATAAATAAATTATTATCCAAAAAAGTTTGTTTTTTTTTCTGGAAAGGAAAGAGGTGATCTATATGTCACATTGGTTTTAAATCAGGCATTGAATAAAATATCATAATTATAAAAATAAAATTATTCAGTTTCGAGAGTGTTTGCTAAATTTTTAATTCTACAAAAAAAAAGAATAAAACTTTTGACTACTGTTTTAAGTGTTTCTCGATAAATAATAAACAATTTAGTTGTAAATTCCAACTTTATCTTAAAATACTTTTATCAACAAGCTAAACGATCTTATCTAATCTGAGTCACTACATTGTTATATAATACAAATTAAAATAATTTTAAGGAGAATTTGTTATTAAAATAATCATTATTTTGGACATATTTTTTTTCAGATGATCTGATCTATAAAACTTGATATTTTTTTTTTTAGAAAATAATTTATTTTCCATTAATAATAGTTAAGGTTATAAATTTAAGTTTAGAGATGGGTATATAGTTGACTGTAGAAATTTTAAGGTGAAAAAAATAATAAAAAAATTATGTTGATTGAGTTTTGCAAGGTTTCGACCCAAACATCTGGTTCATCAGCAGAGGAATGGTTTGACTTACCTTTAGCTCTTTATTGTTGAAACGTCGACAAACTCAAAAACATAATTGTTTAACATCACACCCTGACCTATTTTCATCCTTAAAATAAAGTTTAGTGTAAATATATTAAAAATTCAATAATTAAATACCTAAAACACTTGTTCGGTAAGCAATACCAGCATTGTTTACAAGAACATGAATAGGTCCAATTGTTTCATTTATTTTTTTGAATAGATTGACAAGTTCTTGATCTTTGGTAATGTCACAAGGCAAAGGAAATATCCTTCCTCTATATTGGTCTGCAAGTTCCTGTAAAAATATGTTTTTCTTAATACTACCATGATACAAATTGATATATATATTTCTTCAATTAAATTTAATTCGATAATATATTCAAAGACTCCATTTTAATTTTAAAAAATGATGTCTTTATATAAAAAAACAAATTCCATTGACCTTAAAAAGCTGTAAAGTGAGCAGGGAATATTAACGAAGTTAATTTAGTAAGGATCTTTACGCCCAAAACATTCTGTAAATTTAGTATCGGTAATTATTTATCTGAGAAGGTTTATAGGGTTTAGTTTTATTTTGCGTTGAATACAGTTTTCATGCAAATAAAGCATCCTTTATTTGACATATTTGGAGAATATTACAGCCCATATTCAGTCAACAAAACAACTTTATGTACAAAATATAAAGAAAATGAGAAGAAAAAAATTGGTGAATTTTAGGATAGTAAGTACCTGAGCCGAAAATTATATTTTATTAGATTTAAAACAAAGAAATAAAATTCTTTCCCTACTAATTTTATTTTCGTTACTCAGGATTTAAATGATTGTTATTTGGCTTAAAGAATCACTATAGACCATGGTACATACCCGTTTTTATCAAACTAATAACATCCGCCAGAAACTTCGTGAATAGCTTCATCTCATTGTAAACTACAATTATTTTATTTACGAAAAATCTTTGAATTGGTGCGTTTTCAATCTGGAGATCGGCAAACTTTGTCTATTCAATTAGATACTAAAACTCGTAAATACCTTTCTGCTTTTCACTTGGATTGTAAGATAATTTGACCACAAAATCGAGTTCTGCAAAATTATTGGGCCGTTTGGCCTATATAACCTCGTTATTTTGTATTATTACCCAAAATCGGTCTTGGTCTTGCACTTTAAAAAACCAAGACCAAGAACGCCTAACTGTTGCAAGACAAAAACTAAGAGTGGTAAAAAAAATTGTTCTTGTTTTTGTGAATAAAAATGGGTATTTAAAGTGGAAAACGTCCCAATTACCAGAATTTTCGTAAATAAAATAGTTGTAAGTTATGATAAGATAAAGCTATTTACGAAGTTCCAGACGGATGTTAATAAATTGATAAAAAAAAAAAGTCTGTACCATGCAGGGAGTTCCATAGCGCAAGTTGCTCCATCAATATTTATGAGGGGGTCACTTTTCGATGGGATTTTCAATTTTTGAGAAGAGCCACATTTCGACGGGGTTATGAATTTTCAAAATTAAAAGTTTCAAATTTAAAGGCAAGTGGAAGCATGGAACATACCGCAGTATCTGTAATTGTATATAATCTACGAGTATTTAAATTCTACTTTCGTTTGCACTGTTTTTAAAAGAAGAGAGGAATAAAATATCTTGGGGAGACGAGTACCCCTTGTACCACGAACTACTACTCTTTTCGGTGAAGATAGATCCTTTACTATTTGCCGCTATTTCCCGACTGTGCGCGCCACTTTTGTGTCTAAAATGCAGAGACTTTAACTACCGCTCGGCCTCGAGATTATATTATTGTATATGGTTTCCTGGTGATATTTTAATTTTTTTTTTATTTCTTAATGATATTTACAACTGTATTAAGGAAACACGTTTAGAAAATTTGAACATATGGATATAATGACGGGAAAACACTTGTTGAGAAACTACCACTCTAATGATATGTCTACATTAGGAGATCACGGGGCCATCTTCTTTTCAGACGCCTCGGAGGGTTATCAGGAATTGAAGAGGAAGCAAGGTTAGAAACGAGAGGGTTGGGATGATTCTGAAGTTTATTATGGAAGTATAGGTATCTGGATTGGGCCAGATCTGAAACATTAAAGGCATTATGGATGGTGTTATTTGTAATAAAGTAGGGAGCATTGAGGCTTTTACGAAAAATTTTGGATTGTAAGGATTGGATACGGGAGGAATTCGATGGTTTATTGGAGCCCCAAATCTCAGCTCCGTACGTCCAAATAGGTCTTGTTATAGTCATGTATATAATTGGAAGTTTAGAGCGTTTGTCTAGTAAGTGCTGAAGTAATCGGAAACGTCGAGCGGTTTCTTGTCGTTTCAGTCTGGTATGGATATTTTAAATTAATATATTTATTGTTATTATTTATCATATATATACCTGTAGCCTCTCCTTCCTCCTTGCCACAGCGACCACTCGCATCCCCTCTTCAGCCAGCCTGGCCGCCACAGCCTTCCCGATCCCGGCGCTGGCTCCGGTTACTATAGCGACCTTATCCTTCCAATGCTCCATACTTTCTGATCGGATCAGTTTCCCCTCCACTGGCCACTTCATTTGATGGATGAGAATGTTGTGAGGCAAATCGTGATTATAGATAGAAAAATATTCAACCAAGGTTATCTTTAACTTATTATTAAGCTAACTTCATTTCTTTTCCCGACTTAAATTTATCGATAAATGCTGATTTGTGACAAGAATCTGTTTTTTGTAATAGGAAAGTCTATTTATACTTTGTATTTAATCTATATATCTAGCAATTTGTTTCCTTTGAGGAGAGATTAGTGGTGGTTCTATTATTATTATTATTATTTATTTTTTTTGTTTTATTTAGAAATATAATAATCTATCACGTAGACAATAATTATAGTGAGATATGAACACATTCACTCCATATATACATAAAACATAAAATTAACAAAAGTAAAATAATAATCCATAACTATGTATAATAAAATATAAAATAATCTAAATATAGTTAATTAAAAATATAAAAATTCAGTCATACCTATATACAATAAATACAATCAGGCAGGCAACCCCAAGCCCAGGCTTGTCCTTACAACTATAGAGAGAAAAGCAGGACTCAGAGAGATCCCTGCGCTACTCTCTGAACCGCGTCAATGGTGCTAAAGCCAGTGGAGATTAAGCAAGAGCGCTTTAGCCACATACACTCATGTCTTGAGTGGAGAATCTGGCAATTGCCAGAACTCCAAGATATATACGACAAAAGATCTCTGGGCCACTGCCGCTTCAACCTTCGGGGAGGATTGTAGGGATGAGTGGAACTAGATAGGGATTGTGCAAGATTTGGATGATTTGTAAGGTTCTAATAGAATTTGGAATTTTTTTTTAGGGATAAGGTCTAGGACAAATGGGATATTAAGGTCATGATGTGCGGTTTTGTTGGTGACAAACAACGGAGCATCGACCATTGTTCGGAGGATTTTGGATTGAAAAGATCGGATGTGTTTAATTTTATAAAATTTTTCTGTCCCCCAAAGTTCAAGTCCGTAGGTCCAAATAGGTTTCAGTATTGTCTTGTACATCAGCAATTTGTTGTAAATTGAAAGTTGAGATTTTCTGGTCAGTAGTCTGTATAATTGGCCGTATCGTCGGTTAAGTTCTTGTCTTTTAAGTCTAGTTTGTGGATTCCACGTTAGTCTTCGGTCTAAGAGAAAGCCAATTTAGTTGACTGTGTCTGAAAAAGGAAGCTGGGTGGAATTAAAGTGTGAAGGTAATTGCATTTGGATTCGTTTACTTACACTTTTAAATATATCTCTTTGAGTGGGACTGAGTACAGGCCTGTCAGTTAGTGGAAAAGGACCAAATTTAAGGCTTAAGTCGCTGACACTCGTTCAATTACCAATTTCTATAATATATATATATATATATATATATATATATATAGAATAGAAATAGAAATAGAAAAATCATCTTTATTCTGGGACTAGGTCCCTTTAGAATAACAGTATTGTTCATATATATTTGTTTATTTAGAAATATTAAATTCTGTCACATCAAGGACATTTATAATAGTGTTCAGAGAGCACACTCACACTCTATTTACAATAATAAAAATAAATAATACAAAAACTTAATAATATATAATAAAATAAGTTAAAAACATATATAATCGCGGAGAGACTTTAGCTATGTTTCATAGAAATCGGTACATTCGTTCAGGCACTGTAATCTATATAACACAGACCATTCGATCACCATCTTGAAAGAGAAGTACATTTCGGTGAAGTATGTTTTATATAGATATTTGAAGGTCATCGACGATAAGGCTTTAGGCTTTACAGTCTATACCAACACATGTTTTTCAGCCGGGATCTTAAAAGGAAAGGCCGGAATCGAACATTTCTTACAAAACACATTAATTCCTTAGTGATGACTGTTAGGATTAATTAATTAAGGTTATTTGTTATTGTATATACTACATACTACACTGTTACTGGCAACACTGTCAGATGTGACGTCAGTGATCTGTACTATGTTTATACCCTCGATATGGCTTTTATGTTTGTTGTGTTATTTCACAATAAACGTTTCTTATTGTCTGTGATTGTTTCTTAAAGAAACCCTGAACATTATTAACAGTGACTGCAATAAAGTTCACTTTGGACAACCTTTAATAATAATGCTAATGTTTACGTTTAATTAATAAAGTAGTTAGAATAAATAAATAGGTTTTATTTACTTAATATAACATAAATAACTCATAACAACGAAAATCTTTAGGTGTGAATAACCCCTAAACAAGTTTTCAATTTGTCCACTTAACCCTGAAACGCGGGCAGATCTACGGGAGGGGGGGGGACTTTGGGGCTGAAGCTCCCCCCTCTTTCCCCTCCCAAAAATGGTAAAATATAACCATGTTTTATGGGAAAAAAATGTGTCTTAAAGTATTATTGTTAGTGTAATTACATTAAAAAGTTCTTTAGGAATCACTGAAACACCATTTCATATAGGTAGTTAGTTTTTTTTTTCCAAAGTAATTATCGTTATTTTTATGAAAAAAAAGCTTTTGGGCCGAAGCTCCCCCCAAAAAAAATTAAATCCTGGATCCACTAGTGCCTTGAAACACTCTGTAGATATATACATATTTTATTAAAATACTTGGTTATTTGGACCCAGAAGACCTTCTAATAGGTATTAGCATTGAAAACTTGGATTCGAAATTTTTCACAATCACAATACATTCCTCCCCAGGCGGATCGGGGCTTTCGGATTCGGATCCTCGGACAGGCGGATCGGGACCCCTGGAGGAGAGGGGCTTTTGGGCTGAAGCCCCCCCCCTCTCAATTTGGATAAATATATATATTTTTTTGGTCTGTTTGTTACTATCTAGTCACTCAATCTAAATACTTAAGCAATGACATCAATACATACACTGCTACTAAATACAACGTCTTATAAAAAAAAAAAAAAAAAACGCTGCAAATTATTTTACAATAGTTTATTATTTCCAGACAATTATACATATAAAATAACATTACCTTCCTCGTTACAAAGAAAAATAAAAAAAAGTTGATTGCAATTATTGGGCTAAACTTTTTTTTTTTATCATTAGTAATATGCCAAAAAAAAAAAAAAAAATAGCATTACTTCAGTAAAACCTGTACCACCACTACAACCCTTGAAGGGTCTGGGGTTCAGTACTATTTAGGGAAAGCACTGTTTCTAGGTCAAGGGTTGTGCAAGGAGGTGATTTGACCGAGATCACGCTCAACCGCCAGGTTTTCCCCCTTAATTAATTATTTAATTAAGGGTACCCACTTTATAGAGGCTGGGTGGGCTCCAGGAGGGACTCCTGACCCAAGGTCACTCCACAGCCAATGAAACAGATAAATTAATTTTCTGCCATGAGCCGGGGTTCGAACTCGGGACCTTTGCATTGGAAGCTCAGTGCCCTACCACTGAGCTACCCCACTTCAGTAACACAATCAAAATTTAAAAACCAAAAGAAAGGATATAACATTTGAGATAGTACATATAAAAAAAAAACTGGTGACCATATCTTTGATCCTAATTGTCCGATTTTAACAAATTTTTATTTTGTTTTTAGGAACTTCCGTAAACTTTAAAAAAAAAAAAAGTGTATACTTTTTTAATTATTCGGAATTTAATTTTACCATCCCTCGTAACTTCTCAGCTTCTTTTCGTTGAAGTATGTTATATAGATAAATTTAAAGGGCGTTGAGAAAATGACTTTAGCGAAGTTTCATTGAAATCGGTACATTAGTTTAGGCGCTACAGTCTATAGCATTTTACACAGTCGGCCGCCATTTTGAAAGTAAAGGTCGGATAGTAATGTCGATGTAGGAGGATCATCCTCGGGTGACTTTGATTTTAGATCCAAATTTGAAAAAAATCGGTCCAGTAGTTTCGGAGAAAATGCGCGGACGGCGGACAACAAAATTTTTATTCATTTTTCGAATTCTACGTATCCTGAATAGTGAAATCTCAAATGTTGAGAGGGGGTTAAGTTTTTGATTTTTTTGGTCGAACACAATGGTTCATTATTGAAAATAATAAAACAAAATATATGAAAAATTTATCTCTAAAAGTATTACTGTTCCTGTAATTGTATTTTTATTGAGCTTCAAGAATCACTTAAACACCATTTCATAAATGTAGTTAGGATCTTTCTTCTTCTTCCCAAGCAGATATCGTTACATATATAAAAAGATCTTTCAGGCTGAAGCACTGTAAAAATTAAATCCTGGATCTGCTACTGTCTTACTAAATATCTCATATATGTGTAAGAGAAAGTAAAAATGAACAGGTAGAATTAATTTAGATTAGTAAAAATATAATATTTATTTAAATTACAGTACACAATTTAAAATATTAAAAAAGTTGACATTTTAAGCCATTACTGTTTCACCCAATGGTCTTATAACCAAATCAGCAATCTGAAAAAATAAAATAAAATTATATTATTCTAAGTAATTAACAGAAATAAAACGCATTTACTTCAACATATTCAGTATCTTGTAAGAAGAGAGAAATATTTATAATGACAGCAGATCTCAAGAACTACAAAAAACTTTTTAAAAAATTAAGCAAAAAATGAAATGTCTGCGAACAGCTGGAAAGACTAGGGGACTATTATTATTGATCATTCGTGAATGAAAGTCAGAAGAATGACAAAGATTGCTCGTGTCGCTTTAATCATGATGAACCCTACACGTTCAATCATTACTGAACATGTTAGCTCAGTTGACATTGAGATAACAGATAGCATGGACCTGTTGGATTTTCCACTTATAATAATATTTTTAATTTAAAAAGCTTATTTGGACATTGTCATTTATAGTATTGGACAACAAGAGTATAATGGTGATATAATAATTACTATCTAGTGCCTGAAAATCGTTTTGACAAAAGTTAGACAAATATAAGTCTACTACTTACAAAAATTAATGAAAGATTTTGCAAAAAAAAACCAATTTGTTAAGAAAATAAGAATAATTAATAAGAAATAAACACAACTGTTAATTTTGAAGTTTCTACTTTTTTAAAAATTTATTGCCCACTTGATTATTTAAATAAAAAATAGTTGAAAATGGTTTATAAGAAATCATCTCCATTAACTTCTACAACTTTCTATATTACATATTATTTTTTCTAAAATTCTTCGCTGCCATATATTATACGTATACCTTCTGGCTAGTATTTCCGGAGATTCATTTTTGACCTGGATAAGCATTTTAATTTTTTTTCCTTTATTCAATCATAAAATTCTTTCAAAAGTTATATTTAGCATTTTTTCGTAACTCTGAATAATGTGAGATGATTAATTTTTTTAAATAAACCGTATTAAAGGCACTTTAGAGGAAGACGTATGTGAACATTGGGCATTTAAGTCATGTAAAGTGACATCAACGGGGATAAGACCTAAATGATATTAAAGACCACTTAATTATACAATGATACACCAAGTTTAATCAAAATCGTTAGAGCCGTTTTTGAGAAAAGTTTGAAAATGTGTTTCAGCGTTGATGTAAAGTGGCACTTTCGGTTAGCCGATTTTAAGGAAAAAGTTGCTGTCACATTTAAGGCATATACCTATCTTAAATAGGTAATATCAGTTTTGTATGACTTTTCGTTTTTGAGCTAGACTGCTAACATACACACACCCACACACAGACCATTTTTCGGGACTTGGTTATTTGGACTAAGGGTACCTCAAATCGCGCATTTCAGTTGAAAACTCCGATTCGAAAATGTTCACAACCGCAATGCCTTACTATATATTTCATATATAGGTTTAAAGTAAAAATTTCAAATTTCCTACTATACTGCTGAAAATCGGACAATTGTTTATAAATCGAACTATTATTTATGAGTGTGGTTTAATTACTATTAAATATGTATTATTTTATAAATATTGTGGATGTGTGTGCCGGTGTAAATAGGTATGCGTATAAGTGTATGTATGAGTAGGCATGTACGTGTGACTATGTTTATGTATGCGTGTCCATTTATTTATTTTATTTTTTTGTTAATCAAGTAAATTTAACTAACTTATTGTTAATTTTATTTTTATTGAAGTTTTGCATATATTTGAAGTCTGTATATATATATTTATGACGCAGCAAGTTATTGTATAAATATCTGCATAGCTTTTGACGAGAATCTTAATGCTTGTGAGACCTGTGGACTCTAACCCAGGATTTATCTTTATATATTTTTTTCTTTTACTTTTTTTTTATTGTTTAGTTTTTTTTTTCTTTTTTGGTGAAGATAGCACCTTGTTAAGGTAAATGGAATTGTTGTACAATAAGAAAATTTTGTAAGAAAAAGAAAAAACATGTATTTTCTGACAAATAAATAAATAAAATAAGAATCATAAATTTCAAATTTCCTAATATACTGCTGAAAATCGGACCATTGATTATATAACAATTTGTGGTCTGCTATCGCCACTATATATATTTCCCTCTGTTTACGAGAAATCCTGCATATCTTGTTAATATAATTATTATAAACTTAATTAATTAAGTTAATGATTTTTATAAACTTAATTAATAAAGTTAATCATAGTTAAAAACTTACATGTGTTGAATGGGGCGTGCTGAGAAGTGTGACTGCAGCATCTGCGATGGCTTTCGGTTGGAGAAGTGGATTATCACCTGCTGTATAGGAGTTGCCCCAACCTCCAACATCGAAAATTTCAGTTTCTACCACACCTGGGCATATTGTCTGAAATATATCGATGTAACAATTCAGTTAATATATCGATAGCCGCACTGCAAAAGCCTGTAAAGAGAATTTCCTAGGAAAATAAGGCTTTGGGCTTTTCTGGGCAATATTGATCTGGCACATATTTTTATACCACAAAATAGTCCGTGGCACAGACCCCTTTTTATTGAATTATTAACATCCGCCTGAAATTTCTTAAATATTTTCATCTCATCGTAATTTGTTACCACAATCCTCTTCTGACGTCGTCACGATGCCTTCAGTAATCAGTGCTACAGCCAGTTTTTACTTCTTCTAACCTCTTTGGAAATTAATAATCGCCTAGGCTCGATACAAAATATCGATTGAGTCGTTTAAAAAAAAACAGATGATAAAAAAATAGACAGTTTTTTAGTGTGATAGAAAGAATTACAATTTTTGTCCCTAACATGAAAAATGTATAATTTTATCAAGCGGCATATAACGTCCATCGCTGTATTATATTATATTCTGGAGTTACAACTTTTTTAATTATTTATTAATTTGGCTTAGTTGTTAATATTTTTTCCTCTCTTCATTCTGTAACTAATTTTTTGCTGCTGTATTTTCTCATTTTTTGTATAACGTTATTTTTCTTTTGTATTTTTGTTCAAACTTTATTATTCATAGCTTTTGTATTATTTTCCAAAAATTTAAATTGTATATATCAATTGTTTATGGTGTACTTATTGAGTGAACCTACCAGAATCCCTTAAACCTACAACTATTTTATTTTCGAAAAATGTTTGAATTAAGGCGTTTTCAATCTGGAGGGAGGCAAACATTGTATATTTAATTATGTACTAAAAACTCGTAAATGCATATTTGCTTTCTACTTGGAACGTGATATAATTTGATCACAAAGTCGAGAAAAAATATAGCCTACAAAAATATTGGGCCGTTTGCCTTATATAACCTCCTTATTTTAAAAATTTAAAAGCCACCTTTTTTCTCGACTTTATGAACAAATTATATTACGTTCCAAGTAGAAAGCAAATATGAATTTACGAGTTTTTAGTACCTAATTAAATAGACAAAGTTTGCTTCCCTCCAGATTGAAAACGCCTCAATTCAAAGATTTTTCGAAAATAAAATAGTTGTAGGTTTAAGGGATTCTGGTTGTTTCACTCAATAAGTACACCATAAACAGGGAGACAAACTTTGTCCATTTAATTAGGTACTAAAAATTCGTAAATTCATATTTGCTTTCTACTTCGAACGTAAATTTGATCACTAAGTCGAGAAAAAAGGTGGCTTTTAAATTTTTAAAATAAGGAGGTTATATAAGGCAAACAGCCCAATATTTTTGTAGGCTATATTTTTTCTCGACTTTGTGATGAAATTATATTACGTTCCAAGTATAAAGCAAATGAGTATTTACGAGTTTTTAGTACCTAATTAAATAGACAAATTTAACGCCCCTCCAGATTGAAAACGCCGCAATTCCAAGAGTTTTCGTAAATAGAATAGTTGTAAGTTAAGATGAGATGAAACTACTTACGAATTTCAGGCGGATGTTAATAATTCGATAAAAAGAGGTCTGTAACACGGACTAAAATGAAATACACAATGTTTCATTTCTTTTCTTTGGCCTTTTGTAAAAACTTGTAACTTAAATAACAGAAAATTGTAATATAATAAAGTGGCACTTCCGGTTAGCCGATTTTAAGGAAAAAGTTGCTGTCACATCTAAGGCATATAATTATCTTAAATACGTAATATCAGTTTCGTAGGACTTTTTTTTTTTAGCTACACTGCTAACATACAAATACACAGACCATTTTTCGAGACTTGATTATTTGGACTCAAGGTATCGCAAAACGTGTATTTCCGTTGAAAACTCAGATTCAAACATTTTCTCGATCGCAATACTTACCCTTACGATATATTACATATACATACGTAAGTGAAAGTAAAAAACTGTAAGTTACAATGAAGGTTATAGTGTTTTTGTCGTTGCCGAATTGTTTTTGCAGTAATGAAACGTGGTCATGTATGTAAATATATATATATATTTTGCTCAAAGACTAGAGTATCAATTAGCTTTATAAAATAAGGCTCTGTTTATTTTTTCCCCATATTTATTTTAATTTTCATAGCTACATTTCGGCCGGCAAGCCATCTTCAAGCCATTTTATTCAACCATGTAGTCCAAAGTCTAAAAGGCATGGTTGGATGCACAGGCGGATCTACGGGGGGGCTTTCGGGCTGAAGCCCACCCCCCACCCCAAAATGGTAAAATATAACCATGTTTTACAGAAAAAAATATTAAAAACTATCTCTTAAAGTATTCTTGTTCGTGTAATTATATTTAATAGGACTTCGAGAACCACTTAAACACAATTTCATATAGGTAGTTAATTTCTTTCTTTTTTATCAAATTAATGTTAATGATCGTTGTATGCATTTGAAAAAAAAATCTTTCGGGCTGAAGCCCCCCCAAAATGAAATCCTGGATCCGCTAGTGGTTGGATAAAATGACTTGAAGATGGCTTACCGGCCGAAACGTGGCTGTGAAAATTAAAATAAATATGGTAAAAAAATAAACAAAGCCTTATTTTATAATATTAGAAAATTTCCACCTAAAACAAGCACATATCAATTAGCTTTGTTAATTGGCTAAAATTAATTTTTCTCCTACGCTTTGTATTATTTTTTAAAATTTCTAATAAGTGGGGGTTCCCCGCCCTGAGGCCGGCACTGCTTACCATGGTACTAAATAAATCAAAGAAGAGAGTGGTAAGTGGGAATATAATATTGATTAATGGATTAATGGATCCGCTAGTAAATAGAAGCATAGTCGTCATTTAGTTTCAAAACAATTGTCCACTCTTGAGCCCGTAAGAATTTTCATGTCATACATAAACTTGTTAGCCCATTGGTTGATGAATATAGTTATGTCGTCAGATTTAATTGGCATAACAAAAATATATGTGAGATATATCTTTTTACAATTTCAAACTTGTATATCATTAAATTAATTATAAAGGAAGGAGATGGTCCGGGGTCGCGGTCATAAATAGGCTAAATAGTGGCAAAACTATTTTATTAAAAGTCAACGTTTCCACCCGACTTTGCAGGTCTTCTTCAGGGCTTGAACGGACAAGATACAAAAATATAGAAAATTGTGGAAGTTACATAATATTTAGAAGAAACATATCTGGTTTGTCCACTCACACGACTTTCCTACCTATTTCAAAAAAAATTTTATATCTTTACATATGTTCATGAAGAAACAAAAAAGAATTGAACTAAATACATTTTCCTGAAAATTTATCAAACATAAAATTTTAGTATTTAGTAGCCAAAAATTTGAGTACGATTTATTTGATAAACTAAAGCAATGTAAACCGGCTTAAGATAGGTAATTTCTGTTAAAAATAGAGGAAATAGTGAAGATTGTGTGATGCGGGCAACAGATTTTCTTACTTTCACTTATCTTTATTCTCTCATTCACCCCTTTCTGACACCAGGATATGAAAATTTCTTAATCAACGTAATCTTACATTGGTAATTGATAAGCTGTAACTTCGTTAATAGTTGTCCAAAATGAACGATTTTAATATGGCTTTGTATGGAATTTCATTATCTTTCAAACGACAAGCTAAACGATGTTTTTATAGGTAATACGGAAACGTATAGATCAGAAATTTGACCCGATTGCAATACTTTCCTTACCTAGTATAGGTAGGAAAGTAAAAAAAATATAAACAATGTGTGGTTTTTTTCGTAAATATTATGTAACTTCCACAATTCTCTATACTTTTTGTATCTTGTCCGTTATAGCCCCGAAGAAGACCTGCAAAGTCGGGTCGAAACTAGTGTTGCTCAAAATCAGTCTTGGTCTTACACTCTGCGAGACCAAGACCAAACCCGCTGAACTGTTGCAAGACCAAGACCAGGACTGGTAAAAAAAATTAACTTTTTTAATAAAAATAAATTCAAAAAAGTTGCTAATACTTGACAATCTTAGTAGTAACTAAGTTAGTATGTTAATAATTGATATAACTAACATACTTTTGCATTCAACTCCTCTAATTTTTTTACGGGCTTAGTTAGGTTTCTCCTATCTAAAAAAATGCAGTAATATCTCTATAGTAATAAGCTAATAAGTAACTGCAAGACTGTTGCGAGAGTCTTGCGCAAGACCAAGACCATGACCAAGACTGAGTTTGCAAGACCAAGACTCGTCTCGGTATCGCATTCGGGCAACACTAGTCGAAACGTTGGCTTTTAATAAAATAGTTTTGCCACTATTTAGCCTATTTATGACCGCAACCCCGGACCATCTCCTTCCTTTATAATGCAACGGTCAACTATTAAATATTCAATTAAATTAATTATCTAATAAATAGGAGCTAAATTAATTAATGTTAATTCTTATTTTTACAAAATTACTTACGGATACTTTAATTCCTGACTTTTGCTGAGCTAGTTCCATTCTTGCACCTTCAGTTATAACCCGAACTGCATGTTTTGTCGCATTATAAACATGTTTTCCAAGTCCCTCCGGTATTCCATGTGAGGAGATACTGTTCGATAAACACATACATTTGGATAATAAAATAACTATGAATCTATCAAAAAAATAAATTACATGTTAACTAATTTAAGGTTATTTTCAAAATTCAATTTGGTCAAATTGCCTTTCAGAATCTGATACTTATGAGAAGTGGTAAAAGAAACATATTATTTTTAAATATTTATCATTACCCTTCTAACAATTTGAACCAGGAATACAATAATTTTAGTGACAGAAACATGCAATTATTGAAGTTGAAATGTATATTCTTTAACAATAACAATTATTTATATGTGTACAACAATGGACTATACGTTGGGTATACAATTATATTTTATATCAAAGAAATAACAATAAAAATATTTGGTTGAACAACGGTCATTTTTTATACACCCTATTATTTTAGTATTAGGAGATTACATGAGCTCTTCTATCATTTCTATAATTAGCACTAATTATACAGCCGTTCATTTAATTACATAAGTATTGAGTTCCTGTAATCTCCTACTCTCCTAATATAAAGTGACGATTTTAGACCAAAAATTTGTACCAAAAATGGTATTCATCTGGAGGTTGTAGTTTTATTTAACCTAGGTGACAGCAATTATTTTCCCATCTAGACATTTTCCATTTGAATACAATATATCCCCACATATATTATTACAGTAAGGTTCTAAGCCATTTTTTTTTACCAAATATAAGCTCCTGTCATGCTCAAATACCATGAATGGGGTACCGTTGGATTCAGAATTTCACGGGGGGTTAGCGAATCGTATTCTCCAATTTTGCTTTTCTTTCTAAAATAAATAAAGTCGATACAAACATTTTGCTTGGCTTCAATACTGGAACGGTGGTAACTCTGTAGATCGATACGGGACAAATTGGGCTTTGAATATTTTGATGCGTACAGCAAGATCCGGATAGTTCCTTTGAAACTATTCAGCTCTGCGTTTTTAATCCCAAAACGTAATATTTAACGTAATAAATAGGTTATGCCCATGATTATATAAAATATTACTGAATTTCCTACAAAAGAAAAAAAAATCATTGAAATTCAGACAATGGTTCCAAACATTAATGAAGTTTTAAATTAATTTTTGTTTCCTTTGTCGATTATATTTATCGATAAAGTATCAATTGATTTATAATCTTATGATAGGTTGCATTATTTTTATTTCTTATTAATTTGGCATTCGATCACTTAACAATATGCTGTGCGAATTTTTCGCCTACTAGTATTAATTATTATATTATATATAATATTGTGATATAATTGTAATTATTATGAAATAGAAACGGAAGCACAATATAACGTACAATGAAAATAATAGAAATAAAAGGCTCAAATTTATGTTGGGCTTATATGAAGGTGGACAAGTTGAATATATATTATGGTTACAAATGGGCAACAAGAATAATTATAATAATATAAATCGGAAATAAGACGCGATGTATGATGAAGATTTTTTAAAAAATTGTACGAATTGCGGTTTCGTTTATATTATTTTATGTTAATAAAAATAATAGCGAAGAGGTTGAAACTATAAAACTAAATACGACAACGTTAATGAAAGCCGGTAAAGAACTAGGACTCGAAATAAACGTGGATAAAACAAAATATATGGTTAGCTGCAAAAATGGCGATACTACTGGTGATATCGATATAGATGGTAATATGTTTGAACAGGTAGATAAATTTAGGTATCTAGGTTCTACGATAACTAGAAAAAACGAAATTGAAGAAGAGATTAAGGTTAGACTGAAGGCGGGGAATGCTTGTTATTTTTCTGTGACAAAACTACTTAGTTCGCGCCTCTTGTCCCAAAACTTAAAAATTAGAATCTATAAAACAATTATCTTGCCTACAGTTCTTTATGGATGCGAAACTTGGCCGCTTACATTAAGGGATGAGCAGCGTCTTAAGGTTTTTGAAAATAAAGTATTGCGTAGAATATTCGGACCGAAGAAGGATGAGTTAACCGGAGAGTTCAGACGGTTACACAACGCCGAATTGCGTGAGATGTATCCGGGTAATATAATTGAGGTAATTTCATCGCGGCGAATCAAATGGGCTTGTAAAGTTGTTGGGCTTAGTAACGAGAGAATTCCTAAAAGGTTAATATTTGCTGTGCCGAATGGTAAGCGTCCGAGGGGAAGACCGAAGCGAAGGTGGGAAGATTGCATTAAAGCCGATCTGAAGGGACTGGGTTTGGACGGCGAACGGTGGAGGGAGGTGTGTAACAAGCGATTGGTGGTGTCGGCATCGAACCTTCGGGTTCGCTAAGCCTTATTATTATTATTATTAATAAAAATAATACAATCTGAACTGTAGGATACATGTAAATTACAATTATATAATTTGAACCACGAGAAGTGCAATTAAATGAACAGTTGTATAATGTATTAAATGGGGGTTGGTCCACTGTTAGAAAGAAAGAAGTTACCCCAAGTTATTATAACTTTTTTTTCGCCCAGGACTCAATTGTTAAATATACGCCATTGTCATGGACTATCATATTGGTTTTCAAGATTTTATTTCTACTCTTTTTAGAGTAAAGAGAGTAAATGGGTCGATCTAATAATTATCAAAACTCCCTTCCTTCTGCTTCTCATAAAAATAATCATCATATTTCTTTATTCATGACATAAAAATCATCCAAATACTTAATCCTATTGATTCATTCATGAGTGCACATTCAACAATAATTTATACAGACACTCTACCTGCTAATATTGATAATATATCCATCATTAATTCCGTTCTTTTTCATGGCGGCCACTGCTTCTCTGGTCGCTACTCCCAAAGCTATGACATTCAGATCGAACATGTACCGCCAATGTTCCAAATTACATTCTAAAAAGAAAAAAAAAAAATTAAAAATTATTATTAAAAACACCAAAAAATAATTTTAAAAAAATGTGAAAAATATTTAATGTTTGACAAATTGTGCCACATAAAAAAAGTAAAAATAAAAATATTGCTATGATGATGGGGAAAATTGTCCCGAAACATAAGAGACAACAAACATAAATAAAAAAATGTGAAGAAAATTGGAAGTTTTATTGCCTAAAATATGAAAAAATTATAAACGTAAGCTCCTAATAAAAAAAGAAAAATAAGAAGATAATTAAAAATTAAACTTAAATAATTTTTTTTTTAAATTTCTGAAAGACATTTACAAACTGTATTAAATAAATACATCTAGTAAATTAGAACATAATGTATATAATGACATGAAAAACATTTGCTGAGTAACTACCCAATGGTAGCACTCTTACAATATATGAATATAAAAACCAAATTTATTTTGCATTTTTTTTTTTCAACTTGCGCCATGAATATGGTTAGCTGCAAAAATGGCGATACTACTGGTGATATCGATATAGATGGTAATATGTTTGAACAGGTAGATAAATTTAGGTATCTAGGTTCTACGATAACTAGAAAAAACGAAATTGAGGAAGAGATTAAGGTTAGACTGAAGGCGGGAAATGCTTGTTATTTTTCTGTGACAAAACTACTTACTACTCTTGTCCCGAAACTTAAAAATTAGAATCTATAAAACAATTATCTTGCCTACAGTTCTTTATGGATGCGAAACTTGGCCGCTTACATTAAGGGATGAGCAGCGTCTTAAGGTTTTTGAAAATAAAGTATTGCGTAGAATATTCGGACCGAAGAAGGATGAGTTAACCGGAGAGTTCAGACGGTTACACAAAGCCGAATTGCGTGAGCTGTATCCGGGTAATATAGTTGAGGTAATTTCATCGCGGCGAATCAAATGGGCTTGTAAAGTTGTTGGGCTTAGTAACGAGAGAATTCCTAAAAGGTTAATATTTGCTGTGCCGAATGGTAAGCGTCCGAGGGGTAGACCGAAGCGAAGGTGGGAAGATTGCATTAAAGCCGATCTGAAGGGACTGGGTTTGGACGGCGAACGGTGGAGGGAGGTGTGTAACAAGCGATTGGTGGTGTCGGCATCGAACCTTCGGGTTCGCTAAGCCGTATTATTATTATTATTTTTTTTTTTTAATGTTTTTGTATAGGATCGAGAGGTGGATGGGTTTCTTCCTAGAGCAGTAGTGTTGCTCAAAATTGGTCTTGGTCTTACAAAATGAAAGACTGATAAAACAAAATCGATTTTTTGAATAAAAATTGAGGCAACATAGCTACTAATACTTGACAATTTTAGTTACTATATGAAAATAATTGTTATAACCAATATACTTTTGTAATTAACTCTTCTAACTTTTCTTTCGGACTTAGGTTTCTCCTATCTAAAAAAATACAGTAATATCTCTACAGTAGTAAGCTAATAGATAACATAATTCTACAATAGTTATAGGCAAAAAATAAATTATAATATTTATTTTTTACATATGTCGACGTTTCGACCTGAAGTTCAGGGCTTCATCAGGGCTTTCTCCTTAAGCGTCAAGGGGAGGAACTTCAGGTCGAAACGTCGGCATATGTAAAAAATAAATATTATAATTTATTTTTTGCCTTCCTTTTTTGACTGAGCACCCCAACTATTATACAATAGTTATAGTAGAGTAATATTAAGCAAGTGACCAGGAACCAATGGGTTTCAAATGGAAATAGGAGACAAAGGTTTATTTAGTCACTTCAAAATGGGAAAGATATAATAACAGGAGAAATCGGAGTTTGATCAAAGATTAATTGAAGGTTTTTAATAGTAGGAGAGAAGTTTTGAGATTATTTTTCGAGAACAGAGTTTTTTTGTGGCTGATAATAAATTGAAAGGTAGGATGGACAGCAAAATTTGGAAATCAGCAGCATATGTATTGTATTGGGAGTGATAGATCAGGAGGGGAAGATCATTCATATAAATAGCAAACAGAATGGGGAATAAAGATGAATCCTGAGCGACACCACATGAGAAAGGAAATGTCTTGGACAGAGGTTGACATAGGAGAACTACATACTATAACCGATCTGATAGATTACACCAGCATATGGAGTATATAAAGTAAATTCTGGTCATGAATGAAAAGTAAGAGTAAGTTCATAAAATTTCGACATTTTTAAAATAAAATTTAGCACAACATCCAAATAAAAGATGGCTTGTATTTTGTGTTATTGTTTAAGATGCCTTATACAAAACTGTCTATACAAGGTAACTGCCTAAAATGTCAATTAGGTTTATCTCAATGTTCCTTTACAAGCATTATTTGGCATAGAACTTTATTATTTATTATTTATTTTAAATGATATTTACAACTGTATACAAAAAATACATCTGGTAAATTCGCACATTGGTATAAAGACATGGAACACATGTTGAGAAACCACCCATTGGTAGCACTCTAATAATATGTCTATATTAGAAGATCACGTGGCCATCTTCTTTTCAGACGCCTCGGAGGGTTATCAGGAATCGAATAGGAAGCAAGGTTAGAGACAAGAGGGTTGGGATGGTTATGAAGTTTATTATGGAAGGACAGATATCTGGATTGGGCCAAATCTGATACATAAGGAACATTAAGGTCATTATGGATAATTTTATTTGTAACAAAGTTAGGAGCATTGAGGATTTTACGAAGGATTTTGGATTGCAAGGACTGTATGCGAGAGGAATTTGAAGGCTTAGTGAAGCCCCATAGCTCAACCCCGTAAGTCCAAATAGGCCTTATTACAGTCATGTAAATCAGTCTTTTATAATTGATTGGAAGGTTAGAGCGTTTGTCTAGTAAGTGTTGAAGTAGTCGGAAACGTCGAGCTGTTTCTTGTCGTTTCAGTCTGGTATGAGGATTCCAAGTTAGACGTTTGTCCAGATGGAGTCCTAGATAACGGATTTGTTCAACAGGAATAAGTGAGGTGTTGTTAAAGGATACTGAAGGACAGGAAGTCATTGGTTTACGACGAAGGGTGAAGGTAATTTGATGGGATTTATTGGAATTTATTTTAATTCTCCAGTTCTGACACCATTCTTCAAGGTTTGTGATGTGGGATTGAAGGGTTTGGGAAGCAATAGATGGGTCGTTATTAACTGATAGGATACATGTGTCATCAGCATATGTGGTGATGACAGTGTTGGGATGGGTTGGGTTGTCAGTTGTATAAACTGTCATAGAACTATATAATTAAATTAAATTAGATTTGAATTAAAGAATCCTGAATGGTATTGTGGCAGTCACAGAATTAACATGCAATTCGGATCTACATTGGAATGCACAAGAGATAATAGAATTCAAAGATCACATATAAGTCCTTGCATGTTATTGAAGACTCTTGCGCAAGATCAAGACGAGTCTTTGGGCAACACTAAAGATAATTTAAATCCTATGTGCTTTTGGAAGTCTACTCCTCAAATTTGGATTAAGTACATAAAACTTTATAGAAGTAAATAATACCTAAAACACTTGTCTGGTAGGCAATACCAGCATTGTTTACGAGAACATGAACTGGTCCAATCGTATCATTTATTTTTTTGAATAGATCAACAAGCTCTTGATCTTTGGTAACATCGCAAGGTAATGGATATATCCTTCCTTTATATTGGTCTGCAAGTTCCTGTGAAAACATATTTTTCTTATTAAACATCAGATTATATCATATAATTTTATAATACCAGATTTTTATTATATATTAGTTTTGTATCGATTTTACAAAGGCCTATGATCCCATTGTTCGGCAGAAACGATAAAATATTCTGTATGAACAGGGATATCAAAAATATTAGTAAATCTAGTTAAGGTGTGCATGACGAAACATTCAATAAAGGTAGAATAGGTATTTACTTATTCGAAAAAATTGAAATTTCTTCGTAATTAATTATTTTCACGGACAGATCAATTATCCGAGACACCTAACCAGACTGGGCGCCATAGTGCAGGAAAAAAAATTTTTTTTTTATTTCTTTATGACATTTACAACTGTATTACATAAATACATCAAGTAAATTTGGACATAATTGATATAATGACATGAATACACTTGCTGAGTAATTACCCAATGGTAGCACTCTAATGATATGACTACATTAGGAGATCACGGGGCCATGTTCTTTTCAGACGCCTCGGAGGGTTATCAGGAATTGAAGAGGAAGCAAGGTTAGAAACGAGAGGGTTGGAATGATTCTGAAGTTTATTATGGAAGGATAGGTATCTGGATTGGGCCAGATCTGAAACATAAGGAACATTAAGATCTTTATGGATAATTTTATTAGTGACAAAGTAAGGAGCATTGAGGATTTTACGAAGGATTTTGGATTGTAAGGATTGGATGCTAGAGGAATTCGATGGTTTAGTGGAGCCCCATAGCTCAACTCCGTAAGTCCAAATAATCCTTATTATAGTCATGTATATGAGTCTTTTGTAATTAATGGGAAGTTTAGAGCGTTTGTCTAGTAAGTGCTGAAGTAATCGGAAACGTCGAGCGGTTTCTTGTCGTTCCAGTCTAGTATAAGGATTCCAAGTTAGTCGTTTGTCCAGGTGGAGTCCTAGGTATCGGATTTGCTCAACAGGGATAAGTGGAGTATTGTTAAAGGAAACTGTAGGACAGGAAGTCGTTGGTTTACGACGAAGGGTAAAGGTAATTTGGTGAGATTTATTGGAGTTTAAGGAAAAACTTAAAATTACGAGCTGGCTTGGGATTCGAAATTAATCTTTATTTTAACATTTATTTTTCTAAATATATATATTTCAATTTGGAGAAATAGACTTAGCTGATTTGTGGGTTGGTTGGAGGAGAGCGTCATGTAAAATCTCGTCACCATGCGACAGACCTCCTAAAAAAATGTGCTTCGGTGTGCATATTTTTTAATTTAATTTTTGATAAGTATAGTGTAATCTTTTCTCTTGATTAGTTGTTTCCTAATTGTTGTAATACTCTATTCAATTTATTTATTTATTGAGTATTACAACAATAAATAACTTGGACATTAGTTATAGTGAGATAGGATAACATTCACACTATATGAACAAAAAAATATAAGCAAAATAATAACTAGTTGTAATACTAAAAATCAACATATACCTGTCTCTCAACTTTAAGAACCATGTTGTTTGTATTTCTTACATTTTTTTTTTTTTTGTATTTATAGAGAAATTTGTCTCAGATTATCACCCCTCACTCTGAATAAACTCCTACTTTCATCCATCATATTTAATTTAGCATCAGAATATGTCACTGTAAAGTTAATAAGTACCGAAAAAAGATTTGAATCTAAGTGATAAAATATCCGTTCTGGGTTATGTTGATTAACAGGTCACTGCTAATTGAATTTATTAAACACTAATTAATTTAAAAAACACAATCACTGAAATTATTAAACTACATTTAAGTCAATGAAAGCCGGTAAAGTACCGGTGCTCAAAATAAATACTGATAGAAAAAATATATAGGAGTGGGGTAGCTCAGTGGTAGGATACTAAGCTTCAAAGGTCCAAGTTCGAATCCCGACTCATGACAGAAAAATTATTTATTCTGTTTCATTGGCCGTGAGACGACCATGAGTAGGTAGACCTTCCTGGAGCATAACCAACTTCTATGAAGTGGGTACCCTTAATTAAAATAACTAATTAAGAGGAAATACCTGGCGATTGAGCGTGATCTCGGTCAAATCACCTCCTTGCACAACCGTATACAAAGAAACAGTGCTTTCTCTAAATAATACTTCACTCAAGACCCATCATGGGTTGTAGTGGTACAGCAAAAAAAAATATGAAAAATGTACGGTTGTATGATATACAATGTCGATATATAATTGTTCATATAGAGAATGTTAGGCATTCAGGATCTACGATAACTAGAAAAAAAAATTAAGAATAAGTTGAAGGCTGGAATTTTTTTTTCTATCGAAAAAGTATTTAGAATTAGAATTTAGAATCTTTATTCTGGGACTAGTTCCCTTTAGAATAACAGTATTGTTCATATAAATTAACCATAAATCTGACCAAAAGAATTATTACAATGAATAATAACAAAATACATGTAATACATTAAGTATTAATTAAGCTCTTAGGATAAATTAACGAGAACAGCTGGGTAATAGGGATTCAGTACTACAATATTGGAGCTAAAACAATACCATAATAATCACTGAATGAAATTAGAAAGGAACGCAGAATCAATTTTATAACTATTTTATACAATTTAAGCATTGTAGTGATGAAATATAAAAATTTAAAAAAAATGATAATAATATTTACTTCACGTTTGATGACCAGGAACTTAAAAATGAGAATATATAAAACAAATTACTTTCTACAGTTCTTAATGGATGAAGACGAGGCAACTTACATTAAGGGATGAGCCACATCTTAAGGTTTTTGAAAATAAAGTATTGCTCTCAATATTCGGATATATAAAGGTTGAGTAAACAGGAGAATTTAGTCGCATTGCATGAACTACATGGGCTTAGTAACGAAATGAGTAAATATAGAATAGAAAGATAATACGTTTGAACGCGTCGATAAGCTTAGGTATTTAGGATTCCACCTACAGTGTGCTTAATGTGATCTTGAAACCAGAACGAGTTATCATGTGCAATATACCACCACTTTAGCAGTTGATGTGCTCTGAATGAAGACTAATAATTGATGAGTCGTCCTCGAACGAGACCAGCATCCAGATTATTAATAGGCTTTCAAGGTCGAAACATGACTTTTGTTACGTTATGTATTAAATTGATAAACTTTTTTTGGAATATATAACTCATGATTGCATGTTAAAAAAATGATATAATAAATGGACAAGATAGCATGTTTTATTGGATTTTTTATCTTTGTTGATAATCATTCGAGAACCGTTCTAATATTAGCAACGATGTTAATAAACCACTTATCAGCTTATTAAATTACCAAAGAGATAAGAGATTTTATTTTTTTTTTATCTTTCAATACTTTTTCTATTTCTTGACATGTAAGTTTATCAACTAGATATGCCTAAATATGTCAATCAAATTCATTTTTAAAAAAGAAGTATTAAATTATGTTGTAATTAAAAAGTGGTTTAACGATACGTTAAATTTCATTACTTACTTTCTAATCAATTAATTATATATTTCATGAAACAAAATATACCCAGAGGCAATGTAACAATCAATTAATTTTTTAAAAACGTATTTCAGTTTAAAACATAATTTTAACCAATTGAAAAATGTTTTGGTGAACTTTTATGACAAAGAGATGGTCATTGAGAAACATTGTTTTTTATTATATATAATAGACAGCAAAAGACAGAGTAAATTGTCCTTGAAAATGAGCCAGAAACCCGAAACGTCGGACTAGGGGATCATAAATAAATAATTATCAATAGAAGTACCTCCAATTACAAAAACCTATGAAACAAAGTATTTTTAGCTATCTTAGTCCACTTGCAAATTCAGAATTTAATTATTGATGGAGGCACTAGCAGATCCAGGATTTAATTTTGGGGGAGGGCTTCAGCCCGAAAGCTTTTTTTTACATAAAAATAACGATAATTACTTTGGATAAAAAGAAAGAAACTAACTATCTGTATGAAATGGTGTTTAAATGATTCCTAAATTCCTTTTAAAAGTAATTACACGAAAAATAATACTTCTAGAGATAATTTTTTTCATAAAACATGGTTATATTTTACCATTTTGGAGGGAGGGCTTCAGCCTGAAAGCTTTTATATATATAAAGATAATTACTGAAAGAAAAAAAAAAAACTATCTATACGAAATGGTGTTTGAGTGATTCTTAAAGTCCTATTCAAATTTCAAATATACAAAATTAAAGATATGAAAGTTTTTTCTCTCGACTCAAATTTATTCAATTCAATCTTTATTTGTAATTTTGAATTTATTAAACTGAAATAAGTAAGCTAGTAGGAAAGAAAACGAACAATTCAACACAAACAAATAGAACTCTAACAGCTGATATATTTGTTTAGCTAATATTTGTCTGTGGGGCAAACTTTGCATTTACTGAATGTTGAAGAGGACAATGAAGTAAGGAGTACAAGCTTTTTTTTATTATAATTTTTTAAGCATATACATTAAAAAAGTACATATAACCTAAAGGTGCTATTAGACATTTGCCAAAATATGGAAAAAACAAATATATAAATCGTTGTTTCACAATGCTAGTATTTTTGTATCTTGTTTTTGTTATTTTTCGTCTGCTTTCGTTTTCAAGAGAAATAAAATAAATATTTTAGTTAAGCTATAAATTCTTTGTTACTTAAGATAGTGAATTGTGTTTTCGTGATTTCTGAAACGTCTTAATACACCTTGACACAAACAAACCAAACGATAATAGCTGTGTAAATATTTTTCTAACCGGCAAACCGTGCATTTCATTGCATGCTGAAAGCTATGAACTAAAAAGGAATTTAATTTTTTTTCTGTTAAAAATAAATTTCTTCTATAACAAGAAAAACTTTTTTTCTGACAATTTATCAAGTATATACATAAAAAACGCTGTATAACCTAACTTACTCCAAATTAAATGAAACGGGCAGGTTCGCCAACATCGAAGAAGAGAATATTGATATTAATTTCCTAAGTTGATATATATATATCAATATATATGTATGTATATATTGATATATATATGTTTTTTTTTTCTTAGTTTTAATTTTCTTATTTTTAGGTTATTTTATTTTATTATCTATTGTATATACTTTTGATTATTATTTTGTTTCTATTTATTTTATTTTTTTTGTACTTATAACTGAACCCCTATTACCCAATTGTTCTCGTTAATTTATCCTAAGAGCTATTATACTTAATTTATTGCTAGTATTTTGCTATTATTTATTGTAATAGGTCTTTTGGCCATATTTCTGGTTATTATATGAACAATATTGTTATTCTAAAGGGACCTAGTCCCAGAATAAAGATTCTAAATTCTAATTCTAAATACTTTTTCAATAGAAAAAAAAAAAAATCCAGCCTTCAACTTGTTCTTCATTTCCTCTTCATTTTTTTTTTCTAGTAATCGTAGATCTTGAATGCCTAAAATTCTCTATATGAACAATTCTATATCGACATTGTATATCATCGGACCGTATATTTTTTCATATTTTTTTTTTTCTGCACCACTACAACCCATGATGGGTCTTGAGTGAAGTATTATTTAGGGAAATCACTGTTTCTTTGTCTACGGTTGTGCAAGAAGGTGATTTGACCGAGATCACGCTCAACCGCCAGGTTTTTCACCTTCATTAATTATTTTAATTAAGGGTACCCACTTTGTAGAGGTTGGTTGTGCCCCAGGAGGATCTACCTATCCAGAGTCGCCCTACGGCCAATGAAACAGAATAAATAATTGTTTGCCATGAGCCATTATTATTTTGCTTCTATTTATTTGATATTATTTTGTACATATAGTGTGAATGTCATCCTACCTCATTATAACCAATGTCCAAGAGACAGATTATTGTAATACTCGATAAAGAAATAAAAAATAAAAATAAAAAAATTGTATTTAAAAAATAAAATAAAAAAGTTAAAATCGAAATCAGAATTAACCTTTACCCAACAGTTTGCAGTGTTTAAAGGGGGGCTCATTGACTCAACGATGCTGTTATCTTACACTAATATACTTGTCGACCTCTCTAAATTGTTTATTTATTTACTATATTTTATTAATATATTTATTGTTATTATTTAGTATGTATACCTGTAGCCTCTCCTTCCTCCTTGCCACAGCGACCACTCGCATCCCCTCTTCAGCCAGCTTGGCCGCCACAGCCTTCCCGATCCCGGCGCTGGCTCCGGTTACGACAGCAACCTTATCCTTCCAATGCTCCATGCTTTCTGATCGGAGCGTCGACCCCTCCCTCTGTCATGTCTTTCACCTCCCACTTTTCCATTAGATAAAATGGGCCTTTCTATCTTCCAAACAAATATTAATAAATGTGGGTTTATGGTTGACTACAGTGAATAATTGAAGAGAACGATGGTTGGGGTCATCAGTCAAATTAAAACGGTAAAAAATAAATAATTTTATTTATTTTTACATTCGCCGACGTTTCGGCCCGAAGTTCAGGCTTTCATCACGGTTGGAAAAAAGAACCAGATTACAATAGATATAATAAGAATGAATAATACAGAATTAAAATTAAATAATCTGGTGTGTCCACTCACACGACTTTCCTACCTATTTCAGACAAGTTTCTATATCTTTACATATGTTCATGAAGAATCAAAAAATAATTTAACTAAATTTATTTTCCTGAAAATTAATCAAACAAAAGATTTGAGTACGATTTATTTGATAAATTAAGGCAACGAAACCAGCTTGAGGTAGATCTTTTTTTTTTTTGTTTTGTTGGTAATTTAATTACCTTTCAAAAGTTATATTATAAATTTCTGCGTATAATATATACTTAGGGAGTTAGGTCCCATAACATTATTCTTTTCTTTATAACTTTTTTTCCTAAATTTTTTCGGGAATTTAGTCTATATACGGAATTTGATAGGACAATGATTAGAACATCATAGAAAAGTTTCATCAAAATCGTTACAGCCGTTTTCGCGCTACAGTATAGAAAAACATGTTTTTCATTTATTGAACGCAAGGTATTCCGTCACAGGCATCAGTAGTAAAAACTCTACGAAATAAAAAAAGAAGCAACAAAATCGGTTCAGTAGTTCCTGAGAAAAGCTTGGCACAGACAGACAGACAGACCAATGGCTAAAAATGTACTTTTCGGACTCAGGGGGCTGTGAAACGTATAGATACGTCGAAAACCGCATATTGGAAATTTGACCCGATTGCAATACTTTCCTTACCTAGTATAGGTAGGAAAGTAAAAAGGTGAAAGATATAGACTAATAATTTCAAGTAAAAAGACTTAAGGTAAAATGAAGTAGATAGAATGAACATTAAAGTAAAAAAAAACACTGCAAATTATTTCAAAATGGTTTATTATTTCCAAACAACTATACATCTAAAGTAACATTACCTTCCTAGTTACAAAGAAAAATAAATAAAAGGTGATTCCAAGTATTGGACTAAACTTTTTTTTTTTAATCATTAGTAATATGCTAAAAAAAATAGCATTACTTCAGTAACACATTCAAAATTTAAAAACCAAACAAAGGATATAACATTTAGAGTACAACATATAAAAAAAAAACTGGAGACCTTATCTTTGTTCCTGATTGTCCGATTTTAACATTTTTTTTTTGTTTTTTAGGAAATTCCGTATACTTTTAAAAAACTAGATCGACAAAAAAGTAAAAACTTTTCGAGTTATTCGGAATTTAATTTTACCATCCCTCGTAACTTTTTTTCCAGCTTCTTTATGTATGTATGTTATATAGATAAATTTAAAGGGCGTCAAGGAAATGACTTTAGCGAACTTTCATTGAATTCGGTACATTCGTTTAGGAGCTGCAGTCTATAGCAACGCAGATTTTTCGGCCGCCATTTTGAAAGTAAAAGGCGGATGGTAATGTCGAAGAAGGAGGATCATCCTCGGGTGACCTCTGATTTTATATCCAAATTTGAAAAAAATCGGTCCAGTAGTTTTGGAGAAAATGCGCGGAGGGCGGACGGACAAAAAAATTTTTATTCGTTTTTCAAATTCTATGCATTCTGAAACGTGAAACCTCAAGTTTTGAGACGGGATTAAGTTTTTGAATTTTTCGGTCGATCACAATGGTTGATTATTGAAAATAATAAACCAAAAGTATGTAGAATGATAAAAGTAACAGAGAACTAAGTAATAAATAATAATAACCGTAACGAAGCACGTACCAATGAATTAAGCATAATAAAATATAAGATAACAAAAGAAACTAAAATGGTAATCTAGAGTAAAGTGTAAAACAGAAAAAAGAAATATGAAGTTATATAAGGAAATAATAGATATAAATATAATTAATTAGTATAAATCAAATATTAATATATTTCATTTACTCTTCCTGTGTCATTTTATTATATTTAACATGAAAGTGATTCTTTTTAAACATATTACAGATAATAATAAGATTTCTTAAATGTCTTAATTGGCAACTCATAATTGAGTAACGAAAAATATTATTAATTATACATGATGAATAATGAAAATTTATTTTATTATTTATTAGTTATACATATTCTTAGCTCACAATAAATTTGCCATCTACCTCGGTATTCAGCAAATATGATATCAAGGAGAAGAAATTATAGCATGAAAAAAAAAAGAATAGTAACAACAAAACAAAAAGACAAAAAAAAAAAACAGTAGTAAAATAAAACGTAATAAAACATACATAATAACACACAAAAAAAGATAAGGCAGCAATTAGCTCAATGCAATAAGTCTCTTGGCCAGCGCCTCAGCAGTCTTCTGGAAGGATTATATGGATTTGTGGCAGTAGATAGAGCTTGAGTAAGTGGATTGGAATTTAGACTCAGTCTGTCATGAAAATTATTAAAGCGGTCAGTGGCAGTTGCCGTGATGAAAGGAATGTTAAGGTCAGTGTGTAACGTGAGGTTTGAAGCATAGAAGGGTGCGTCTACAATTTTCCGGAGGACTTTTGACTGGAATGACTTGATGATTTTTATATTTGATTTCTTTGCTGTTCCCCCTTCGATCCCATATGTCCAAAGTGGTTTAATGAGGACTTTGTAAATAAATAATTTATCAGTCACAGATAATTTAGAACGTCTGTCAAATAGCCTAGAAAGAAGTCCGTACCGCTGATTAAGTTCTTTTCTTTTTTGTTTTATGTGGTATGTCCAGTCGTTTATCCAAGTGGAGACCCAAATATCGTACAGTTTTTGAAGGTGGTAGAGCGATATTATTAGGCACACTGGAGGACAAGAGTTTTGTTTAAGTGCAAATGAAACAAATTGGTTCTTAGACTCGTTCGTTTTTATTCTCCACCTTTTAGCCCAACAAGTCGTCTAAGTGTTCTTGAAGTACCTGAGAAGCCTTAGCCGCATCCTTGTTAGATGTCAATATTGTTGAGTCATCAGCAAATGTAGCCAACAATGTTTCAGAATGTTGTGGGATGTCTGAACAGTAAAATGTAACGTATAAAAGTATTTTTATACCTCCCTTCCTAAAATCATCTCTTCCTCTCACCCAGCACCCTTCTACAATAACATAACCACCTTTTTTTTCGATGGCCTCTCTACATCGCCATTTTTAGCATGTTCAATTAGTACAACAAATCCTATACTAACAACAGTGGGATGGTCGAGATTCATTCCATGGGTTCACAACGAAATCAATTTCAACCCGTTTAGGCGGGGTTCGAAGCTGCGTCGATAGATTCGAGAATGATAGTTTACGCATTAACATGCACGGTCTTTATGATCTCATCTTGTACTAACATAACATATCCACCAAATAAAAGTTCATCCTTATACTCCTCTTCCATCGGTCTTCTTCATTCTCTTCTCTCTGCGGCTCAACTTCGCCTTCCTTCTTTTGTTCTCCATCAGTGAACTCCTCGAAAGAATGCGGTGTGCTTCATTATTCTCTCTATAACCCCACCACTTAATATTGTGATTAATATGATATCGGTCGATCCATTTTCCCGATCAATTTGGTTGGAATCCATTCCGAACGCAGATTTGTCTGTACTTGAACCGTTTCTCCAACATCCAAGTCTCAGAGAGGTAAGTTTATCTTGTGTCATAAAATCTCCTGCCCTTCTGCGTTTATTTCTGTATGATCTGTCTGTCACTCGTGTTTACCGCCCCCAAGTTAAAGCAACGGTTGATGTAAAATCAAACAACGTTTGATAATCATCAGGTTTGAAAATATTATATTATAGAAAGTTTATTAAGATTTAAGTTGCTAGCTGAGACTTTCATTCATTAATTTTTATTAGGGCGTCTCATAAGTTTTTTTCACGCCACATTATGTATGATCTCAACCTGACATTGTTGGAGCATGGAGGTTTATCTTTTGTCACGGCTTTTTCAAAGTACCTTACGTTGATGACAAAGTCTCATTTAAAATCTTTTCTTATCGCATAAAAAAAATAAAATAATAAAGACAGAAATGGAAGAAACTTAAGGGACACCCATGTGTTTTTTTTTTAATTTATGGTCAAACTTTATATAACTACTCATCACAGATATTGGCATCTATTCATAAAGAAAATAAAATCACCAGATATATTGCTATGCACATACATATATATTTTATTTTTGGTATAATTGTTTATACTAAAGTTTTTTTTTATTTTAGATAGTTGTTTTTCTTCGTCGGGCTCAGCTATAAGATATAATTGTAGCGGTAGAAGCTTCTCGCTCATATTGACTCAACAAATTAATAGAAATCAATCAATAAATCGATGTAACACAAATCTGGTTAGAGCATCTCGTGGTACTGATTACGATCTGTCCCAACTGATGTTTCTTTCGTTCTGTAGTTTAACTTGTCATTTAGTCTTTAGAGATCCTTCGATAAACCATGTTCTTCATCTATACGCCTCTGTATTCACAATTCTTCCAAGGTATTTCGTATGTAGTGACAGAGTTCAAATCAGTGACATTGTTAATAGTAATATCCACGTGGCTTTTAAGCCTTGTACACATTGAACGTCCTGACGATACAATACTACTGTTAATGCTGATAAAGTCATCTAGTTGTGTTAAATTCTATTCCACAGTCACAAGAGCGCGATTTTTCATAATGATACAGACTAAGAGATCGCTAAACGCCGTGAAATAACGCGTTCTGTGTGCACAACTCCTTAGTCTATGGTAGAGAACGGTAAAAAGTGTTTCGTCATCTAAACTATCTTTAAGTAAAAATTCTTTCAAATCATTTAATTAACAGCTACAAGATTCAAATCAGTGACTTGAATGGTCACAAGCCTCCATTAACGACAAAATTTTCATGAATTATAGATAATCATATTTTACCTTATTAATAGCTAT